GATTCAGTTTGTTCGTGCAAGGGAAACATTCCATCCAACGGCAGTAAGGAATAACATCCCGTTAGATCGATCAGCATGGCAGATGCAGATTGATTTAGGGCGGAAACTCTGATGTGGTCCAGACAGCACATCGACCGGACCTAATTTTGTGGCCGGCAGACAAGAGGATCATCGTCCTCGAGCTAACAGTGGAATGGGAAGGAGATTACCAGCTAGCCCATGAGAGGAAGACTGCCAAGAATTTGGAAAGAACAATATGAGCAGAGAGGGTGGAAGACATGGCTAGAAGTTGGATTTCAGAGATTCCTTACCCACACTCTGTGAAGTTACACTGTATGGAGAATGGCTAGAGCCTTTAGTATCAGTACATGCCAAAAATAGGAAAAGAGTTGTCAAAAACTTATGTAAGGAAGGGTAGAAGGCCTCATGCTGGATTTGGCACCTAAGAAACACAAAGAAGTGGAAGCTGTATGACACGCAGTGAGAAGATCGCCGCTGTGAACCCACCAACTGTAGGATGTCATATTTTTAAGGGTCGATACATCCAGTTACAGTTAGATACCATCTTATGATGTCAATGGCTGGCTTACTACCCAGCAGTAGCCAGATAGCAGTGAAACGGAGTCCAAATTAGGGGCCTCATACCAGAAATCAAAGGCAGACAGTCTGACTAGTATTAATCATCATTTGTTAGATATCAAAGAGCTTTCTTTTATTTTTATTTTTACAAATACCGAGGTTTCCCCTCCTTCGCTTTCCAATTTGTATATTATATGGCTTTATTGATGTGTCATTGAATCAAGATCTTAAAGCAGTTAATTTCACGGACGTTACAAATAAAAGACTGGATTCATTAGGTCTTTCCACCTTTCTGTGGAAAGACCTCTTGAAATGCTTATGTTTATTAGGTCTTTCCACCTTTCTGTGGAAAGACCTCTTGAAATGCTTCTGTTTATTATTATTATTATTATTATTTTTCCGCTACCGCCTTTTGAACCGAAAGACTTATCAAAAAGTTTTATAGTTCATGATACTCGACATCAAAAGTTATTTCGAAAAACTACCCAACGAGTATGACCTATGACCCCTTTCAGAGTTCTTGCCCCTTGTACGAAAAACCTTGTTATCGCTACTCCTTCGAAACCGTAAACCGTAGAGGTACGAAACCTTCATCAATGTCTTCGACTTATTGAGGGGACTCTTCAATCCTTTCATTGCGAAAGTATTCGTCCACCCCTTTTATGAGTTATTGCCCCTGAAAGGTTTTGATGTTTACAAATAATTAAAAATTTTCAAAACGATAAGTCGTAGAGACATGGGACCAACTGCATAAGATTCATTGACCTTTGACCTTAAAATATATGCAAAGGTCAAAGGTCAAGGTCATTGAAAATATGAGAAATTAGGCTCTTTTTATATCTTTTTTGTCTTTCAATATATATTAAATATCTTTGCATCATTAATATGTCCTCTTAAAACTATTTCAAAGATTTCATACTAGTCCCCGGAAATTTACCCCTTTAAAAGTTATTGCCCCTTTTACTGAAAAACTTGTCATCGCTACTCCTCCGAAACCGTAAACTGTGGAGACACAAAACCTTCACTAATGTCTTCAGGGTCTTTAGACACAACTTCAATCTATTTAGTGCGAAAGTATCCGATGACCCCTTATATGAGTTATTGCCCTTTAACGTCTTTGCACTTACTATTAAATCTTATAACTTTGAAAGTAAAAGTCGTAGAAGTATGGGGTCAAGTGCAATGTGACCCTTGACCTTTGACCTTGAATATTTTTTAAGGTCAAAGGTCAAGGTCATTTCAAATTTTTTCATTTTTTCTATCTTTCAAGCCATTTATGGATTCTTTTTGTATAAAAATTTACTTTAGAGAGTAAAATATAAAAATTAAAGAAATTTAAAGAAGGTGGAAAGACCTCTAATTGTTCGAGAACAATTAGTCTCCTAGTTATTATTATTATTATTATTATTATTCTTTTTCTTCCCGGACTTTTGAAACCGCAAGACTTATCAAAAAACTTTATAGTTCATGATACTGGATATTAAAAGTTATTCCGAAAAACGACCCAACGTGTTTGACCTATGACCTCTTACAAAGTTATTGCCCCTTTCGCAAGAATAGCTTGTTATCGCTACTCCTTCGAAACCGTAAATCGTAGAGATACAGAACCTTCACCAATGTCTTTGACTAATTGAGAGGACTTTTCAATCTATTCATTGCGAAATGATTTGTCGACCCCTTCAATGAGTTATTGCCCCTGAAAGTTTATGAAGTTTACAAATAATGAAAAATTTTCAAAACGATAAGTCGTACAAACATGGAACCAACTGCATTATATTCTTTGACCTCAGATCTTGAAATTTTTTTCAAGGTCAAAGGTCAAGGTCATTCAAAATTTGATAAATTAAGCTCTTTTTATATCTCTTTTGTCTTTCATTATATACTAAATTTCTTTGCATCTTTAATATGTCCTCTTAAAACTATTTCAAAGATTTCATACTTGTCCCCTAAGATTTACCCTTTTAAAAGTTATTGCCCCTTTCACTGAAAACCTTGTTATCGCTACTCCTCCGAAACCGTAAACCACAGAGACACGAAACCTTCACTAATGTTCTTAGGGCCTTTCGACACAACTTCAGTCTTTTCAGTGCGAAAGGATCCGATGACCCCTTATATGAGTTATCGCCCTTTAACATCTTTGCTCTTACTATTAAACCTTATAACTTTAAAACCAAAAGTCGTAAAAACATGGGGTCAAGTGCAATGTGACCCTTGACTTATGAACTAATATAATTGTTCAAGGTCAAAGGTCAAGGTCATTCAATTTTTTTTTAATTTCATTTTTTCCATATCTCAAGCCATTTCTGGTTTCTTTTGTATAAAAATAAACAGTAGAGAGTTAAATATAAAGAATATATGAAATTTGAATAAGGTGGAAAGACCTCTAATTGTTCGAGAACAATTAGTCTACTAGTTATAACTGATATTCTTGACATAGAATCAAGATCTTAAAGCGATTAATTTTACGGACATTACAAATAAAAGACTGGATTCATTATAACTGATATTCTTGACATAGAATCAAGATCTTAAAGCGGTTAATTTTACGGACATTATAAATAAAAGACTGGATTCATTATAACTGATATTCTTGACATAGAATCAAGATCTTAAAGCGGTTAATTTTCACGGACGTTACAAATAAAAGACTGGATTCATTATAACTGATATTCTTGACATAGAATCAACATATTAAAGCAGTTAATTACGGACATTACAAATAAAAGACTGGATTCATTATAACTGATATTCTTGACATAGAATCAACATATTAAAGCAGTTAATTACGGACATTACAATCAAGATCTTAAAGCGGTTAATTTTCACGGACGTTACAAATAAAAGACTGGATTCATTATAACTGATATTCTTGACATAGAATCAACATATTAAAGCAGTTAATTACGGACATTACAAATAAAAGACTGGATTCATTATAACTGATATTCTTGACATAGAATCAAGATCTTAAAGCGGTTAATTTTCACGGACGTTACAAATAAAAGACTGGATTCATTATAACTGATATTCTTGACATAGAATCAACATATTAAAGCAGTTAATTACGGACATTACAAATAAAAGACTGGATTCATTATAACTGATATTCTTGACATAGAATCAAGATCTTAAAGCGGTTAATTTCACGGACATTACAAATAAAAGACTGGATTCATTATAACTGATATTCTTGACATAGAATCAACATATTAAAGCAGTTAATTTCACGGACATTACAAATAAAAGGTTGAATTCATATTGATCATTGTTTATTACATTATTACCTGAAGATTTGTAATATGATGAAAACATTGCATTATCTATAATTGATATTTACCTTTAAGATCCCCTTTCTAAGGAGGCAATTCTTCAAAATCATATGTCAGTTTTAAATTTTTTTATATTCTCAACAACCAGATTGAATTTGAATTACCATGCCTATACTGGGCTCTTAAACTTAATAAAAATCCTTACAAACAAAGTCTAGTAAATGTTTTACGAATCTCTTGCTTTACTCCTCACAAAAATATTAACAGCAGTGAATGAGAAACTTTGGGAGTACCATACAATATATTCGAGAAGTGGTGTTGATCAGATGTGGATACTTAAAAACTCCAGGGAACTTTTAGAAAATTTGAAATCATAGATTTTTTTCAAAGTCAATAACATCAAAACTCACGACTTTTCAACACTTATTCAATCATTCCGCACTACAAATTAAAGACCAGACCTTTTGACATTATAGACAACTGCTTCTTTAGTAAAATTGGAAATTGGATTGTAAATTTGCATACATTGTCAATGGTCAACTGCAGACTTATTTAATTAAAAACACATTCTGATGCTATACATAAGTATCCGAGGTTTATATAAAAAAGATGTTTGAGTTACTGATTAACATTATATATGAAGTTTTTGGAGACCAGGTCTTCCAATTATATATATGACAAAATGCTTAAGTTAATATAATAGATTTCTGAATCAGATATTTGTTTTTGTAGATTTTCTACGGTCGAACGCCTTTCGTGTGTACTTCAGCAGTCGCCTTTTGTCGAGACTAATTAGAATCAATATGTAACAATAGCTTGTACAGCTGTCGATTTCTTTATTCACAATAACAGAAAACAAAATTAAGTCTTAAAAGTTCATAAGCATTTACCATTTTCTTATTAATAGAAGGCATGTTCACTAGCACATCGATTGCTTTATTAACAACATGCAACAGAATATTTTATCTTCGCTTGAAGATACATGTACATGTAGTAACCATGTTTGTTAGAATAAGAAAATGTAAGATGATCTTTTTGTGTCTTATTGGAATAGTATCCTTTTTGTGCACAATCTTCGGAGTTTTCCATGGTTTCCAGATATTAAAGCCAAATAATCCCGGCAAAGGTCAATCACTTAGGTCCCATCCTAATGTTACCATGATCAAAATTCTGTTCTTTAACCCGCCATCCTGGTTCAGTGGATTTGATTTCAGTAACTGTGTTTACAAAGATTGTGTAATGTCTACAAACAAAACGGACTTTTGTGACAACGATGCAGTTATATTCAACCATGCTAGTCTTCCGTCGTATCCACCTCTCAAAAGGCATCGACAAAAATGGATATTTACTTGTTCTGAGAGTGCCCACTATGGAGTCAAAACTTGCACTACCCCACAATGGCGTTATAAATTCGACTGGATCATGTCATACAGACGAGATTCCGACTTTTTCTTTGGATATGGAGACATTGTTCCTAAAAAGGAGATGAAAAGGAAAAATTACGAAAAAATTTATGAACAGAAAAAGAAACTGGTCGCCTGGATAGTCAGCCACTGTTTTACACAGAGTAAGAGAGAAGAATATGTGGAAGAGATGTCAAAAATAGCGAAAGTCGATGTGTTTGGGAGCTGTGGGAGCTATAAGTGTGAAAAATTCAAAGGAAATGAAAATGACTCATGTCATGACCTTGTAGCCAGAGATTACAAATTCATTCTGGCCTTTGAAAACTCGCTGTGTAGAGACTATACAAGCGAGAAATTTTACTACGCGTATGAATACGATAAACCAATCATTCCCGTCGTTTTAGGATCCTTTACCTTAGGAAACTACTCACAAGGAGCTGTATACATTGATGTACATAAGTTCCGCACTCCGCTACATCTTACAAGACGTCTGTTAGCCCTAGGAAACAATAGAGAATATTATATAGATCTTTTAAAAAAGAAGGATAGATTTACGTCTTTGACTTCAAACCAGACATTCACGAGTGCAATGTGTAAGATGTGCGAGAGTCTTACTCTAGGAAGACCGGGGCGTCTAGATCTGGATATCGCCGAGTGGTTCTTCAAGGAACAACTTTGTCATTCCCCTGATCAAATTGGCATCGCTTCCAAAACAGAAACAATCAACAGAAAAATGGCCCAGAAGTACTTAAATAGAGTGTGAAGCGAATCCGCTTACTTTACGGAGTAACATTATTACTTCAGGGTCAAAGAATGAAAGTCACTTATCCCACCAATCAAATCAATAGAAAATCTAGCGAAGCACATTCAAACAGTAGGTAGCCAATTCAAACAACATAAAATTAGAATTTGGGGTATTTCAAAAGAAGCATTTAATTCTACAGTGATATATGTCTCTTTCTGAAATCTGAGGATTTAAGATGAAGTCTACCAGATAAATATCTAGAAGTGCAAGAGTTGCCAAAAAGCATATTATTAGTTACTAAAGTCTGTATTGCTTAAAATTTTTTTTTCTAAAAGTTCAGAAAAATGAAAGACTGATATTCTTCTCCTTAATATACATGTATATAAATAGATATGTTGCACAGTTTGTTTTATCGATGTCCATAAGACAAAAGAGGGAAGGGAAACACCTTTGTTTTCAACTGATGTCGGATGAAAGAAAATAAAACAGAGATAATAAAACCTCTAACGCATTATGGAACAGGAACAAACACGAGAATCAAAACCCTTCATATTTACTTGTAATCGATTTATATTTATAGTAAATAACAGTTTATGGATTTTTGACATAATCCATATACAGATTTGTTGTAATCCATCTTGTGTTTGATCACACCAATTACAAATATGCATAAAATGATTAAATAGATTTAAAAAAAAATATATTTCGTTATTCACATACATTTTTCATTAATTTTCAATATCATACCGGTGTACAGACTGCTGTTTTGTTTAAATACCCTGTACTGGCCCGTAAAACAAAACTATAAAGGTCTAGTCTGCGATCTGGGATGATAATTTATCTATACCTTTAATCTCAAATTCTTTAATAACGGTAGCTTTACTTTGAGTTCTGGCGTTTGATGGTTTAATTAATTCGTCTTCTTGATTTAGACATGGTGTTTATGATCCATAATAAATAAACTATACTGACTTCGTCTCTCGTGATATGTTTCAGTTTCACACAGTTTCCTTGACAAACCAAAGGAAGTACTTCTCGGTGATTGTATGTATAGGAATCATTATGATCATCTTCCAGTGCTTCACCATTGAGAACGCTAAAATGAACAAAAAACAAAATCAACAAAATAAACCAACTGTGCATTCAATTCTGTATTTTAACCCTCCTTCGCATATATCACCAGAGACATGGAGTTTTTCTTCTTGTCGAATATCTAACTGCAGAGCTACAACCGACAGAAATCAACTTAAGTCCAGTAAAGCTGTGATTTTCTATCAATTCCTTATGCCGGATTCTCCACCACCGAAGACCTCAGGCCAGAAGTGGATCTTTGCGTCCAGCGAGAGTCCAGTAAATACACACAACACAAGTGCTCTTCCAGGATGGTACAAGACATTTGATTGGGTGATGACGTACAGATTAGATGGCGATTTTTATCATGGATATGGCGAACTCATGCGTCGTAAAGTTCCCTCGGGTAGGAATTACTCTGCTATATATTCGCTCAAAAAGTTTGATGTTTCTTGGATAGTTAGTCATTGTAAAACCCAAAGCAGACGAGAGGAGTATGTGAAAGAAATGGCAAAATACATTCAAGTAGATATTTTCGGTAAATGTGGAGATTTATTCTGTGGGCCAAAAACCGGAAATGAAAATGACTCTTGTCACCATCTGGTCTCCCACCATTATAAATTTTATCTGTCATTCGAAAATTCTCTTTGTAGAGATTATACCTCCGAAAAATTTTATTTCATTTATTTATACGACACACCAATAATTCCCGTAGTTCGTGGGGCTACTAATGGAAAATCTTATCTTCCTCAAGGCACATTCATCGACACAAATGACTTTGAATCTCCAAAACATTTAGCAGAATATTTAAAACGTATTGGAGGTAATGTTTCAGAGTATGTCGGTTTACTTAAAAGAAGGGATGACTTTATATCTAAAAGTTTGAATGACATTTTCCAATCTGCACTGTGTAACCTATGTGAGAGACTCCATTTTGACAATCTCACTTCGAGCCCATACGACATAAAACAATGGTTCTTTAAAGATCAGTGCAAAAGTCCAACTGATTTAAATTTTCTTAATTGAACCGGTATCAATTTTATATTGTTTATTTTATCTAAAGATACAATGGAGTTCTACAAGATTGAATGGTTACTGCTGCATTATTTCGCATATTGTTCTAGAATTGTATTTTAAACAGTCTGGCTCCTTGAAATTCAGTCATTACTTTACACAACTAACGCTTTGGATAATACCATGTGTTGAAATTTCCTGCATAAATCAGAATGCTTATTCCTTCCAGTCGTTGTATAAAAAAATACCTGTTTTTCTGTAGCATTGTTCTTTTCCTTATTCTTGTACACCAATTTTGCCTTCCTTACCTGGTCCAGGAGCATATATTCCCCGTCTCAAAAAGGTTAAAAAAAGGAATCGACTGGGAACACACATATATAAAGAGGAATATCAGCTTCAATATCCTTTACTACAATCCGCCAAAGGACTGGAAAAAAGGTCCAGACATCGTGAATTTCCGTGATTGTCCGTATAAAGACTGTTCCGTTACTACGGACAAGTCACAGCTCAAGAACTGTAAAGCTGTGATTTTTCAGCATCGCCCACTGCCTGAAAAACCACCGTTAAAATTTCCCAGACAAATTTGGATATTTACTTCGTCTGAGAGTCCTTATCATACAGACAGGACTGTGTTACTGCCCGCCTGGGATGGTGCTTTTGATTGGTCGTTATCCTATAGGAGAGATTCAGATGCTTATTTTGGATATGGACAAATCATTCCTCGGATTTCCCCCTTGGTAAGAGACTATGACTTGGTGTTCTCTCAAAAGGTGGGTGATGTGGCTTGGATTGTAAGTAACTGCAGAACACGAAGCAAAAGAGAAAAATACGTAGAAGAACTACAGAAATATGTGAATGTAGATGTGTTTGGAAAATGTGGTGCCAAATGTGAGCCGTATCAACTCTTAGGAAACGATTCCTGTCACAGAACGATCTCACGAGACTACAAATTTTATCTTTCGTTCGAGAACTCGTTGTGTATTGATTACACATCAGAGAAACTGTATCATATCTATCTGTTGGACTTTCCAATTATTCCTGTTGTTAGAGGAACCATGACAGGCAAACAGTACATTCCAGTAAAGACGTATATAGATACACTGGACTTCAAAACACCGAGAGACTTAGCAGAAACCCTAAAGAAGATTGGAAATAATAAAACACAATATATAAACATGCTGAGAGCTAAAGATATGGAACGCCTCAGCTGCCTTATGTGGAGAACATTCATTATATGCTGATACTTCATCATTATATGCTGATACTTTAACAATATATGCTAATACTTCATCATTATATGCTGATACTTTGACATTATATGCTGATACTTCATCATTATATGCTGATACTTCAACATTATATGCTGATACTTTAACATTATATGCTGATACTTCATCATTATATGCTGATACTTTGTCATTATATGCTGATACTTGAACATTATATATTGATACTTCAAAATTATATGCTGATACTTTGACATTGTATAATGATACTTCACTATATGGTGCGTTAAAAATAGGTTAAACATAGGGATCGTCATACCAAAATCGTCCAAAACGCATGTAACAGAACGTGTGTAAGAAATTACATCAAATCAGGTGGAATATTGCAGGCTGTGCCTTTTCTCGGCTAAACAGGTCGTTTTGGCCGCATTTTAAACGTTCAAGTGGATAAAGACATTTTGATTGTTGTTCACATTCATCATTTCACGGAAATTTAACATTGTGTCTAAAAATATATATGTGTAATGCGAAAATCTTTATAGGATGCTTCAAAATGCATTTGTATTAATTCTTTTAATAAAAGTTTAGCAGATCCTTGAACTTAATGTTATAAATAAAAGTATAAAGTTTGTCTATTTAAAAAAATTGGTAATTTTAAGCAGTCTAAAGGACAGTAGCAGATATATGTGTGAAAGAGGTCCCCCCCCCCCCCAAAAAAAAAAAGAAGAAAAAAAGAAAGAAAAATTTTAGAAAACTTTTATGTTCTTGATATTCAATAAAGAAAACTTGAATTTTGAGAAAACCTTTGCTATTATATATTCATTTTTACTATAAGTATTTTGAGTTTATGTTGTCATTAATACCCCCCCCCCCCCCCGAAATCTTGAAATCCTGTATACGCCTCTGGAATGTGTTTACTATAGCTTACAAGTTACATGATTATATGTATTATTGCGAAAAATAAATAAAGTAAATACATGTATTTTAATATGATTTCTTAGATGAATTTATACTGCATGAGGTATTAAATTGAAATTTAAGAATTTTTAGTGAAATACCGGCTATATTAGTTGTTTGGATGTTTAAAATATTTTTTTTTTGAGTTTATAACTTTATTATTTTTATTTTCTATTTTATTATTTTTTTTTTTTGGAGGGGGGGGGGGGTTGGGGGCGTTGGCAAGATTACAACTGCGTAAATATTCACTCAGTTCAAACTAACTTCATAAGCTCAGTCTCGGTGATTTTACAGTTTTCCAGAATGATCGCATGCATGGCATTGGATGTAAGATCAGCTTAAATAGTCCAATTAAAAATGCAATGGCGTCTAGATTCTGGAAAAGGTTTTGAGTCATTAGTAGCCTAAATTACTATGTAGATGTCATAACAATGAAATCCCTGAACAACAACCCCTTCCTACCGATTTGAAAAATACATATAAAAGTGCAGAGCTATCAAAAACTTAAGTGATGAAGCGTGGTTCTGAGGCCGGAACGACCATGCAATATATATATATATGTGGGGGGGGGGGGCTCTCATATTATGGAAATTATTAATCTGTCCCTGAAAATAAATCAGTATGTCCTCCACTGGTATGTCTTTGGCGTGATGGTAGCCCCACCCCTCTCCCCAAAGAAATGCAGTTTTCGAGTTTGGATAGACTTTTTCGTTCAGTGTATCTGAAAATAAATAATCTGTACCTGGTCATCTAGAAAATGAATAATCTATCATTTACGTAGTGACATGAAAATAAATAATCCGACTCGAAAAAAAATTGCACCCACAAACGAATCAGGTGTGTCCCCTATATTGTATTATTCAGCTTTGATGTCCTGTACCATCATTGATTTCAAAATAAGGCCAAGTTTTATTACCATGAAGAGTTCCTGAACTTCCAAAATATCTTAAAATTTTTGCGCAGTACACGCGCTTTTTGTAAAGCTATCTTTGTTTACTTCACTATTTATATGATAAATTATATTTACTCTCTATCCCTTTCCAAATACACCAGTATATTCAAAACTGCTTACACGTGCCCCTTCCCCCTTTCGTCCCATCAATTTGCCAATACATGTACATATATATACACCAATACATGTACATGTATATATACTAAAACTATGCAATTGAAAACAATTTTTTTTTGGATTTTTTCTCTTGTCAAAGAATTTTAGTATGACGATCCCGATATTTAACCTATTTTTCAAAGCACCATATTGAAAGGTATCAGAATATAATGTTGAAGTATCAGCATATAATGTTGAAGTATCAGCATATAATGTTGAAGTATCAGCACATAATGTTGAAGTATCAGTATATAATGACAAAGTATCATCATATAATGACAAAGTATCATCATATAATGTTGAAGTACCAGTATATAATGTTGAAGTATCAGCATATAATGTCAAAGTATCAGCATATAGTGTTGAAGTATCAGCATATAATGTTGAAGTATCAGTATATAATGACAAAGTATCATCATATAATGACAAAGTATCAGCATATAATGTTGAAGTATCAGGATATAATGTTAAAGTATCAGCATATAATGAATGTTCTCCACATAAGGCAGCTGCGGCGTTCCATATAAAGACAAGTATACATCAAAACACTCTTGGCAGACGTATGAAGAAGCTCTTTGTAAAATATGCAAAAAGTTACACTATAACGTGACAGTAAGCCAGCCTCTTAATGTGCTAAACTGGTTTTTCTTAAACACCTGTCGGGAACCCTTTGACATATATTTGTAATCCTGAAACATTTCTTCGTATTCAGTGAGTGTTTCTTTTAAAAATTATATGATTTATGTCTTGAAATTAATTAATTAATTTTTTTTCGAAAGTAGGTGAAACTCCAAGGTCAAAGGGTCAAAAGGGAAGGTTTTGTTGCAAGGAATATACTAGTACCTGTAAAATATGAAAGCCGGGCTGCCCTGGCACCAACCGTTCAAGTTATGGCCAAGGTTAATTTTTTTCAAAAGTAAGTCAAACTCAAAGGTTAAGGTCAGAAAGTCAAAATTGTTGGTACTGCAGGAAAGTAGGAAATTTCTTGTCTGATGCAAAGTATTGATGTGTTTACTTTCTTTTTATCTTTATGCATGCAACTTTTTTTCCATATGATACACATACATGTCCGTATATGACAGGAACAGTCCATATGTCTTATATGAATAGGGAATACAATTAATAAATTAATCGCACCAAATGTCTAAAAGGTGTGAAGTTTACTGTGATTTTAATTTTGAGGTGAAAAATAAGAGATCAGTGGAACCGATGAGCACCTAGTTTAAAATAATCTAATATGGTATTGTTTTGAGCAGTTGCATCTTCTGGGGTATTTCCGGCAAGCTCAGCTCGGAAAATATCTGAGGTCGTTTTTCCGAGTTTGCCGAAAAGATCCAGAAAGATTGATAAGAAAAGCTAGGTATTTATTACAATTTTAGAAATAACTGATCTCTACAGTCTTGGCATTATAAATTCTAAGTCACTGTTACACTTTGTACATTGATGTACAGGTTAGACAACAAAACACGAAACTTCAAATCATGTGCATTTTCAGATGATTAAACGAAATTGACATGGTGTAGTTTATCTACAGTTGTATTCCCAGAAGACCCCACCGTGAAGTCGAGCATGCGCATTCCAGAAAAAAAAAACTACCGTAGTTGCTAGCGCTTGAGAGCGCTAGCAATCACAAATTAATATATACCTTTTAAAAGAGAAATGAAAAATAGATTGAAACATAATAACAAGAACTTAGACTTAGTATTAAGCAAATTTTAAATAAAAAAATTCATTCATAACTTTAATGTATGTTATCAATTTGGAATTATTCCATCGAAGCAATGAAAAAATAAGGATTCCATACATTTCTCCATGTGCATATTCTAACAAAACCACAGAGATCGGCTGCTCCAGAGGCCGATAACAAACGACTAATTTAGTTCACTTTCCATTCTTCTGATGAGTCGGGGACAAGCTATATTTCAAAAGAGTCATAATGTTTTAATTGTCATCACCCCTCAAAATGTACGGTAACGAAACATTTTATATACAAAGGCAGGGACTCTGAAAGTCTGAAACTTTCGCACCAAAACATGTCTTGCCTTAATCAGTAAAGGAATCTGATACCATTTATGTATAGTTACTTGCATCTATAAAATATATTTCTATCTGTTACATTAAAGTTTTAGAATTCATAGAATTTAAATATCTACTTCATTAAACAATTTTTCAAAGAAAGGAAAAGAATTCTTTTTTCTTCCTTTTCTATTCATTTAATATGACACGAGTATACGAGCCCTGCATTCGAGAGAAACGTTTGTCAATTATAGTACGTACAATAAACATTGATTGCTTTAGTTAGGCAAGCTTTTTGAAAACCTTTTTATTGTAACACAATATGCATTACCGTTGTGCAATTCCTGTAACTCATCATTTCATAAAGTAAAACAGGAAATTCGAAGGTAAAAAATAGCAGAGATCGTATTAAATATAAAAACTTACATTTAAACTGAAAAAAAGATTTTAAAAAAATCAGTCTATATGAGGACTGAACCCTGGTTGCCCTCTTGAAAATCCAACACGCTAACCACTATACTCCAACATTTCAATATAAAAATTGAAATAATTATGTAGACTATAGATCAATGAATTAAAAAAATTAAATATATATTTAGAATTCTGATCAGACTCTCTGTTACCCTTCTAATATCATAGAAAAACAAAAACATTGAAAAAATGCCTTTGAAAATACATTATGTGAAATGCAGCAAAGAGGAGATAATTCTATCAGAGGAGGAAGTAATCAAGATCGATTTCAGAATACAAGAGGTACTACCAACTACAGCCGAGGTATCATAGCAAACACATCACTTTAACAGAGAATCATAACAGCCCACGGGATATGCAGACCAGCATCAAACTACAACAGAGCTTCAATAGATGAAGGATTTTCTTACAGAGGTAACAGAGGTTCCGACAGAGGTTGTCTTAACAGAGGAACCACAGGTACTTGTTTCGTATAGGGGCAATCTGATTAAAATCAGATCTTTGTTACGCTCCGAAATTCTGATGGTCGCTTTGTACGGGGCACCCCTACTTATTTTTACCACAAGGTACCTAACTCAATTTCAGGCACCCACGCTTCAAGCTCGTATTTTGTTCATATATCAATCATTAACCTACTTTAAAATCATATCGTTCGCTTCAAGAGACTTTTTTCTTGTCAAATAATTCCTTTCAGACGTCTCTGGTCGAGTCTCTTTATTGTAAATCACTCATTTATTCCTCGAAAATTACCTCGATACATATTAAAACACCACCTTTAAGTATGGAATCCGGATAGGGCCATGCAGATCACTATCGCATCATCAAGATTGGGTCGATAGTGCGATAATGCGATAGGTGCGTTGACGATGGCGCGATGGTACAATGACGATGAAACGATTTTTCACTATCACAATCGTGCAATCGCACCATCGTCATCGCATTGTCGCGCAATCGCTTCATCGTCATGGCACTATCGCACCGTCGCGTCATCGGGCCATCGCTTCATCACCATCGACTTTTTACTCGATGCTCGATGGAGAGATAGTGAACTACATGGTATGGAATCTATGGAATCCGGATAGGGCCATGCAGTTCACTATCGCATCATCGCACCATCGAGGTTTGAGTCGATAGTGCGATGACGCGATAATGCAATGACGATGAAGCGATGATGCGATAACGATGAAGCGATGGTGCGATAACGATGATGCGATGGCACGACAATGAGATGACGATGATGCGATGGTACGATGAAGCAATAGCGCGATGACGCGATGGCACGATAGCGATGATGCGATGGCGCGATAGTGATGACGCGATGCTATATCGTGTCATCGTTATTGCTTTATCGCACTATCGTCATCGTGTCATCGCACCATCGCTCTATCGACTGGTACTTTCTATAACCGGATAACATTCCCAGCAGTCATTGCACAACATGGCGTTTGTTGACGAAAAGATTCAAGAATATTTCTTTAACGGATACGATAATAAAGAAATCATATTCCTTCTTTGGAGTAATTATGGTGTGAAAATAATAAGGTAGGTATTATTAATTGTCATAAGTTATGATAATATAAGTACCTGTATAGGCTAATATTTTCTCTAAGAGTAATAAAGTTCCTATACATTAGATTTATAGTCTCATTCAAAGATTGTTTATATGCGTGTTCTACTTGTATGTATATATTTGTTATTTAAGAAATAGTGATTGAAGTTAAAATCTCCCATTTTAAGATATATTTTATGCATTATTTTTTAAAATAATTAAGCTGTAGACATTTGAAAAGACGCATGACCAGACTTAATTTGAGAAGAAGGAGATCATACAATGTGGATATGGCAATAAGGGCTATTCAGGTAATATTGCTTGTGTTTTATTTCATCTTTCTTTTTTGATAGATTGATCAAATCTAGAAAAATCGTCAGTAACATCTACATTTTGATGATAGCTCATTATTTTTAGTGAACTCATACAAATGTTAAAAATTTCATATGATTTACATATATTCTACTCCAAGGAAGAAATGATGTTCAGTGGACAGACTCTTGGGTGTCGTTCGATGAAACGAAGACTTCTTCAGAAACATGGCATCTTTATAGGAAGGTATATTATCTTATTATGATTAATAAACAGAATTAAGATTTCTTGTTCAAAGTATTAATTTTATTTCTTTAATTCAGCAGAATGCCAATTATACAGAATATTTGCTGACATTACTTTTATGAGCTTAAGGACATACACAACATAGTGTTGGAATTTTAATTTTCTTATTCCCTTGTTGATTTAATTAAGAGTTCAATAATTGAAAAACCTTTGTACAATTTAATGATGCCTGTAAATGCCGTTACCTCCTCTGAAGCAAATGTTGAGGAAATACCAGCTAAAACTATATTTTTGTTTTTTTTTCTTTGAGAAAATACAATGAGTTTTATCATTTGACATCTTTTGAAAACTCCTGGTAATGTATGCTGTTTTTTTTTTTGTCTTAAAACACCTGATGAGATTCTATAATTTCAAATTAGGAATATCCTGGAAAATAGTATGTAAGGTACATGTAAATGCAAGTTGCATATGACCTTAAGAGGCAATAATGCTTTTTCTTAGTCACAATTTGCGACTTCTATACTACTTGACATGTATTTCTAACTTATCTCTTTATTTTCCTTTTTTTTCAGAAGGTACATCTGAAATTAATCTAAACATGCTCTTGGCGTTTTGGACTAGAGCTGACACAATCCCTCCACTAGGATTTCACAAAAAGCTTGAACTTAAATTTGTGGAAGACCCTGCCTGTTTGCCAGTTGCACATACCTGCGATCTTTTATTGGAAATATCTAGGGGAGAAACCCCTGAGGAATTTCACAGAAAAATGTAGTTGGCATTAACTTTTTTTTTTTGGGGGGGGGGGGGGAATTCCATCTTGCTTAAGAAAATAACTTTATGTATTCAATGCTATATCTATGTTTTGAAAGTTTTATTCAATCAATTTTTAAACTCAATAATGTCAGTGATAGTCATATTAAGGAATAAGAGTATTTCTTAAGGGAAAGATAATACTAAAGGACATTGATAATCATATGATGAGGAGCATTTCTTCAGGGAAAGATAATACAAAAAGACATTGATTTTTGTATGGGAATATTAATTGATATTTGGTGTATTTGTGGTAGTAAGCATGCTTTTGAATTTTAAATTCTAGATTGTTGCATCTGTATGCCAAAAAAGTTTTTCTCAGAGCAGTTTGCTTTCCTTATATCCTCATTTTGCAATTTTCATTAATAGTTGTTCTAATGAATATGGCATGTATGGTGATCCAATAAACATAGTAATAATTTCTGTTTGTGACTTTTAATTCATACACTTAGATGATTAGTGTACAACATTTTTCATGAAAATTGAAAAAAGTCAAGTGAAACATCAGGTGATGATTTATTCTCTAATCTTAATTTGGATTTTACAACTTTTCAACCAAGTACTTCAAAGCCTCCATGGCCTTCTCAGTGGTGTTTGGAACAGTTCTCCCACCCTCCAAAAGCAAATGATCAAAGAATGCTGCATTGTCCTCACAACATCCTGTCGAGCTTGGACTAGGAAATAATCTTTGAAACTCTAGCACGTCATGAATATCCACTGGAAATTTATAATCTACTTCACCTGTACATAAAAAAATGAAGTCATAATGTGTTGATACTGTTTTAAATTTGAGCACTGAAAAACAACCAAGGTATCGAAGGAGAAAGGTAAACACAGAAAAAATATTCAAATTAAAGTTAGTGATTAAACAAATCTTTGCTAGGAAAAATACCAAAAATTTCAGGGTGGAAAAACATCATTTCTGGTTTTCCTGGGAGACTTCCATCATCATCATAGCGTCCTTGTCCTCTGATGTAATGGTTATTCCATTCTGTTTTTATTTGATCAAGTTCTTGTTGGATGATTTTCATAAAACAGAAGCGAAGGCATTCTCTAAATTGCATGCAGAAATATCATAATAGGTTATAAACGCATAAATTCTTAAAGTATAAATAAAGAATTTATTTCTCTTCTTACATGTGCTCGTTATTTGCTGATGAGAACATCCCTTGGTCTTCCATGTCTTTGAACAAGTGTATCCAGAAGGAGATGCCCATCTCTCTCAGTGTTCTCCACCAGCGTTCAATTCTCTTAAATCAAAATAAGTTTGTGAAAAACTGAAGGCTGATTTTTCAAAAGTAGGTCAAACTTCAAGGTTATTGAGTACAAATGTTGGTACTGTCACAAGGAATACACAACTTCTCTAGGATCAACCGTTCAAAGTTATGGCCAAGGTCAAAGTTTTACAAAAGTAGGTTAAACTCCAAAGTCAATTATTATAATGTTGGTACTCAAAGACAGATTTATTTTACAAGAAATACACTTGAGAAATATGAAATCTCTAACATCAACCATTCAGAAGTTGTGTCCAAAATTAAAGTTTTTTCACATGTAGGTCGAACCCTAAGGTCAAGGTCATTAGGTCAAAAAATGTTGGTGCATTAAAGTCTTTGCAGGTAAAAATACAGACAGACCCAAAGCTATGTGGATAAAGCCCCCGAATCTTTAATCATAGGGGCATAAAACAATCACATAAATATGTCATATATTAATTTCATAATGATACAGAAACAAGAATTTGTATATCAAATTATGTGCAGAGATATTTTAAATCATTAAACTGACTTCATTTTCAAATATTTGACAACAGGTTTCTTGAAAGGGGTATAGAGAGGGGTATGGGAGGGTTATCCTTCCCCTAGGTCAGAAAATTTATAATAAAAATGCATACAAGTCTGTTGCATTCTGGGGGTCATTTTTTTTTCAAATATGAAATAAACAAATAAATAGCAAAACTTTAAACAAAATATTGGTGTTTTCAGGGGTTGCAATTGCATCCTTGCCCCCCCCCCCTTGATGGATCTGTAGTATAACTAATAATATAAAAAGAACTGTGTCACCTTGAACTCTATTAAATGAAACTGATGCAAATAATGAAAGTATGAAGTTTGCAAAACTTATTATTTTCAAAATTATCTGTGGTATCAGATTACACAATGACGCCTATGAAAGATAATAATATGAAGAATTTTTTTTTGGTCTTTGAAAAGTAATAGTGAAAATAATCAGTTGATCTGTTTCCTTTTAAACATAAGATAACAATTTTCCCTCAGGAAAAATGTTCAGAAAAGTAGAGAGTTTGAAAAGAAACTTAAATGAGGATTACACATACAAATTTTTAAAGTATTCAATTACTTCAGTTATTTGATCTTATATTAAGTTGGGACTAACTGAATTGACTGTTATTGGAGTAGTAGACCATTCAGATTTGATCAAGTCCCCCCCCCCCCCCCAATTTTCAAATCAAAGGGCAAATTACTCTAACTTCTACTGCAGGAGTGTTATCTGGAATTGGAACTCAATCCTAGGTTGCAGATTTTAGAAGGTTATTAAACTCATCTGATTTGTTTATACAACATAAGTTACTGAATCATATTGTTATTTAAAAAAAACTTCATATTCATACCTGGTTAGACATTGATCTTCCTTTGATTACACTCTTTTCTCCACACTTGTCATCATTATCGTACCAACGGAAGGATTTTTGAATGTCCTCAATGTATATATTCTCAGTTCCAGCATCAAGTCTCACACACCTTGGAGCACCTATGTATTGGGAAACTCATACTACCATGAACTGAGACAAATATGGTTTCTTTGTTCAAGTAAATATATTTTACAAAATAATGCATTTTATGTGTATTTATTCTGTATCAATACAAAATAATGTATTTAGAATGTTACTTAGTAGAAAATTAACTTGTGAAAATTAAACTGCATTAACAGTTTCAGGAATATATTTATCAATGATTTGTAAAAATTATATAAATATACTCAACTATTTATTTCCTCCAGGTATTTCAAGAAATATGATGCTACAACAAAGAAGTTATTGTTTGTTCTTGCAACTTTAAGCCATAGTATTCGTCTTGAAAATCTGAAGAATAGGAATTTGATCATTTAGATTAATAGTTAATATTGTTTTCTGATATGTAGCTACAACAGTATATAACAATCATAAATTCTATAACTTCATAAATTCTTGTAATCTTACATGACTCAATGAACACTAAAAACTGATGCACCTTAACTTACCCACACATTGCACCATGTATAGCGAAGCCAAATGGCTTCAACTTGTACCCATCAACATGTGCAAGATAATTTGGTCCATTGTTTAGATTCATTCTTCTTGTCAAGCAGTGACTTGCTCTTAGGTCAACTCCATCAAGATCGATTATTCTCAATAAACACAACATTTTATCCCTGGAACAGTATATATATAATTAATCATCAACGATTTTAAATCTAACCATTACATTTTAACAAAAAAATGAATTCAATGAAATTATTCTAAATATCTTATTTATATAAAACTCATTATAAGCAATAGGCACATCGTTTGAATTCTGTTTATTAATCATAATAAGATAATATACCTTCCTATAAAGATGCCATGTTTCTGAAGAAGTCTTCGTTTCATCGAACGACACCCAAGAGTCTGTCCACTGAACATCATTTCTTCCTTGGAGTAGAATATATGTAAATCATATGAAATTTTTAACATTTGTATGAGTTCACTAAAAATAATGAGCTATCATCAAAATGTAGAGGTTACTGACGATTTTTCTAGATTTGATCAATCTATGGCACGCCGATTGCTTCAAAATTATTTTCTGCACGACCTTAAACAAAAATTACACGAGTAAGTAAAAACTTACACAAAGTGGGGAAAATATACACGAAGTTATTGAAATATACACAAACTATAGAAAAACTGCACAATCAATAAAATATTTACACGATATAGTGAGAAAATTACACAAACGTAAAATCGAAAACTGCACGAGTGAGAATACAACATCGACATAATACGCAACGCATCCTCATTGCGCACATTTCATTAATATTCATTAGAGAACAGGTCAATGTGGCTTGGATGCTTGAAACATATTATAAATACAAAAGGAGGAGTAAAGTGTTAGTAATCTTTTTATTTAAGATTCATTTAAAATTCCGTTAGACTCTCAAGAATATGTACATCGTATATTATACATGTAGATAAATTGACAGGCACACAATCTTAAACTTGTAGTATATGAAAAACATTCTACTAAGAATACATGTATAGATAACGTAAAAAAAAAGGGGGGGTGCATATTACAGTTGTGTTTAATTGTTGGATTTTTTTTAGTAGGTCATTCCTCTATATAGCAATTTCTTTTGAAAGTTAAAAACTATGACATATAGGCCTAAATTAAAATAAATAAAAACAACATGTGATATAATACAGGAGAGTTAACAACAAATCAAGCTCTTCTCCTCCACCACCCACTGAGTGTACTTTTGGTAATAATCAAGGATGTGCATGCATGACCTTTACATACAGAGATCCCTCCCTGCTGGTTCTGGAACGAAAGACACCTGTACGCTAATCGAAATATAGCTATTTCACACACCAATAATACCTTTTGATTAAAGATTACTGGCAATTCATACAAAGATTTTTAAGCAATGTTGCGATCATCTGGGTTGTGGAATTTGAACGAAAACTTTTTGGAAGTCAACAGTAAAGAAAATCGAGTAAATAATTGCGCAACTGAAATTTTAATATTGAAACGCATATCTCACTTTTTGATATATGTATGTAACAAAGTAGTACATGTAGTCTTACATGTAGTCTTAACTTTTGAGCAAAGTGTGGTGATTTCATAAAACTTCATAAACCATGAAACTGTAGAAAAATTATACTGTCGTTTTACTTATGTGAATTAAAGCTTAATTTTATGTTGTTTTTAATGTACCGGCGGTAGTCTATTTTGAATAGTTAAAATGCATATAAAGGAATGAAGAAAATTTAAAATTATAAAATACAGGTACGTAGTATCGTTTTTGATAGGGGGGGGGGCAGCCAGATTTTTTTTGACAACCTACCTGAAAAAAACCTTGACAAGCAACAAAAAGGTAAAGTGTCCAAACTCGAAAATCCTATTTCGTTGGGGGGGGGGGGGGGGGTCCACTTCCACTTTGTTTTCGAAACACATTATAATACCAAATTACTTTGATTTAAACTATCCTACAACAGGGGGGGGGGGGCAACCAGCTTTTCAGTGGACATTTACAATAGAGGTAGGTTATGTTTGGAAAAAAAGGGGGAGGCAGGCTCCTACTGATGCTACGTGCCTGAAATATTTTCTAAGAATTTAAGGGTACATATAATAGTCTATCGAAATCAGGATTGCAATTTAGCTGATTTGTAACCATATTGTAAGACCAAATTCAAGAAGATGTACAAGATGAACTTTAATTAAGGGACTTGGCTACATGCACATGCATATTTATTTTCAATGCAGATTTTGACAATAATAAATTTGCACATGGTAATAAAACAAAAATTTCTTGAAGTTTATATTCATCATATGTTTTCTTATATTTATTCGTAGTCATGGTCGAAGTAAAAACGAGACCTGGTTGATGCCATTGAAACACATGTACAATATTGCTACAAAGCAAACTTTTTAATTACTTGTACATATATACGTACAAAATTCATATTGCATAGATTAGGCTTTTTAACTCATAATCTGAATTTTCAAAAATGTTAGATATGCACATGAATAATCTTTTAAAAAGTGGAGCTTGTATCAAATATGTTCCTTGAATGTTATTGAAGATTATTTTCATTTTATAATTATACAGTCATGTTCTTTTTATAATGACTCTATCTTTGGGTAAAAAAGTGTTATTACAAAAAACAAGTGTTCGGATAATAATTAAAATTTTATGCATACAAATTCGAAATGTAAAGAAAATTTGTTATCTTGGAAAATCTTTGTCAAACCCCGAGCTCCATAAAGAACATGATTTATTTGTATTTTTCAAGAGCGATAAAACACGTTCTATGTTCTTTCTATTTATTATAATATCCATTCCCATTTTCTTATTTGTAACATTGTACGTAGATGTATTTAGTAATTCACTATTTGAAACTTTAATAAATACATAGATTCAGATGTTGCGACTCGATCAATCCACGAACCAGATCCGCCACTGATGTCATTAGTTTTACCGGTGCAAGGATCATTTGAGTAGAGTTTTGTTATTTCATTTGGACAAATTTCAAGTAATAAAACACAAAACCGCATGTATATAAAGCACATAGAGAATATATTTTTCCTTTATCTGGTCCTTTTTATTAAAAGTGAAAATATTTATCAAGTAATCGCCATTACGAATGAGGGTAACGCTTTCCCGTAGGTGTCTTGTTTTTTATTGAGCAATTTTTGACTGAAAATATGCGATATCATGGAAGGAATTCATAACAGTGTAGGCTACAGATATCCAACCAAAATTAATATCCTCATATTTTATAAGTAAAGATACATGTATAATTAGAAATATTTTTTTATGTTTGACTTTAAAACATACTATGTATATCTAAGGTCAGGTAATCCCCACTTTTTAATCTTTTTGAAAATAAAAAATATATCCAGCTAACTCCCAAATAAAAAAAAAAATCTGTTCAAATGAAATCATAATTAGTACAAATGAGAAGTACCGAAATAAATTCTACAATTTAATAATTATAATCAGCAATAATTCTGCCATCATTTTCATGAAGAATCCACTTTATTAATCGTTTTATTATGCATGTGTTATTTAACTTATTTTTATTTTATACAAGTAATTTCCGTTAAAGTTATATCTATAAGTTAGATAATTTTAAAAGGCCATAGAGCGTATATTTAAAAAAAAAAATAAATAATTCTATCATTTTTTTTTAAGCAAGATCTGTTTATCGTTAGGAATTTAGAGTTTGCTGTGTATTACTTTTAGTGCAGAGTCGAGTGCATTATATGCAATGGTACTTTTTCCCCCGCATTATAACACAGACATGCATTTTCTTTCTTGTCACAATTTATGTCCGACATCATATAATACCTCCATATTTTGGCTAGGATCTCGGTCAATATAAGAAAAATATAATATCTCCGAACAACTTTTTAATTCTTTTCACACAGTTCACAAGAAAACACTTCATTCGTTTGATTGGCATTAGCTAGAAATCGGATCGAGTTTTAGCAAAGAAATAAAGAAGCAAACAAACATGTATATCATCATCAACGCCATTTTCTCTCGATTACATCCAGCATTCAAGAAGAGATAAGAGTACAGAAAACCAAGAACACAATGAATATTCTATGTGCATAATAATGATATGCGCAGCTGTATGCGCAGTAAAATTGTTTGTGTAATTTTTAGTTTCCTCTGCTCGTGCAGTTTTTGATTTTACGTTTGTGCATTTTATACCCATTAATCGTGTAAAAAAATTCGGATTCGTGTATTTTTCGTTATGTTTGTGTTGAAATCTTTCAAACTATGTGCAATTTTTACCGATACGTGCATTTTTATTTTACTCGTGTATATTTTTCATCAAGCTCGTGTATAAAATCGTGATCGTTGTGCAGAAAATAATTTTGAAGCAATCGGCGTGCCATATCAATCTATCAAAAAAGAAAGATGAAATAAAACACAAGCAATATTACCTGAATAGCCCTTATTGCCATATCCACATTGTATGATCTCCTTCTTCTCAAATTAAGTCTGGTCATGCGTCTTTTCAAATGTCTACAGCTTAATTATTTTAAAAAATAATGCATAAAATATATCTTAAAATGGGAGATTTTAACTTCAATCACTATTTCACTATTTCTTAAATAACAAATATATACATACAAGTAGAACACGCATATAAACAATCTTTGAATGAGACTATAAATCTAATGTATAGGAACTTTATTACTCTTAGAGAAAATATTAGCCTATACAGGTACTTATATTATCATAACTTATGACAATTAATAACACCTACCTTATTATTTTCACACCATAATTACTCCAAAGAAGGAATATGATTTTTTTATTATCGTATCCGTTAAAGAAATATTCTTGAATCTTTTCGTCAACAAACGCCATGTTGTGCAATGACTGCTAGGAATGTTATCCGGTTATAGAAAGTACTAGTCGATAGAGCGATGGTGCGATGACACGATGACGATAGTGCGATAAAGCAATAACGATGACACGATATAGCATCGCGTCATCACTATCGCGCCATCGCATCATCGCTATCGCGCCATCGTGCCATCGCATCATCGTCATCGCATTGTCGTGCCATCGCATCATCGTCATCGCGCTATCGCACCATCGCTTCATCGTTATCGCACCATCGCTTCATCGTCATCGCATTATCGCGTCATCGCACTATCGACTCAAACCTCGATGGTGCGATGATGCGATAGTGAACTGCATGGCCCTATCCGGATTCCATAGGAATCCGAATGGGGCCAGTAGTTCTCTATTGCACCATCGAGCATCGACTAAAGGGTCGATAATGCATGCGATGACGATGATGCGATGGAGCGACAATGCGATGACGATGGTGCGATAGCACGATGGAGCGATAGTGAAGATAGCTTCATCGTCATCGTACCATCGTGTCGTCGTACTATCGCTTCATCGTGCCATGCCATCACGTCATCGCGCTATCGCTTCATCGTACCATCGCATCATCGTCATCGCATTGTCGTGCCATCGCATCATCGTCATCGCGCCATCGCACCATCGCTTCATCGTTATCGCACCATCGCTTCATCGTCATCGCATTATCGCGTCATCGCACTATCGACTCAAACCTCGATGGTGCGATGATGCGATAGTGAACTGCATGGCCCTATCCGGATTCCATACTATCTGGATTCCATAGATCTTGTACATTTTGTTTTGAACCCCCCCCCCCCCCCAAGCCAAACATCAGTTGTTTGCGTAGTACAAAGATTGGTGCAAGGTTTTTTAAAAATGTGGCATTCGATCCTCAGTTGATAGAGCACCTGACTAGTGATTCACCGGCGGGGCCCGGGTTCGAATATTGGTCTGGTCTGTCGGATTTTCTCTTTTCCTGTTACATTTGGTGCTACCTAGCTGGTGACCATGCCCTAGATGTGACAGGTGAAAGACATGCCAGGGAAGAGCCTGGGTTGGTGTCTAAAAGAGTTTTTCATTATTATGAAGGTAACAGATAGGACCTATTTTTATTAGTCCCCTACCGGTGAAACCGGAGGGGACTATAGGTTTCCTCTGAGTCTGTCCGTCCGTCTGTTTATCTGTCTAGCTGTCTGTCCGTCTGTCAGTCTGTCCCACTTGGTTTTCCACACTTTTTTCGCTAAACGCTTGCGGATATTGAGCTGATTTTTGGTATGCGAGTGTATCTTGATGAGTTGCAGACCAAGTTTGCATTTCGTCCCGCTTCAATGATTTTTGACGGAATTACGACCTTTTCAATTTTTTAGGGTTTTCCGCCATATTTTTCTAAACGCTTGCAGATATTGAGCTGATTTTTGGTATGTGACTTTACCTTGATTAGTTATAAATCAAGTTTGCATTTATTTCGGCTTCAATGATTTTTGACGGAATAATGGCATTTTCAATTTTTAAGGGGAACCAGATTACACTTGCCGGTAGGGGACTAGTATTGCTAATGCAATACTATCAGAATGCTTGTTCACTTTAAAAACATGTCGCTCATAAACTTGAGAGAAACGTTGAAGGTCATGAGAATAGTTCATAGGTCCAGTAAAAGGATGATAGCTTTTATTTTATTTTATTTATTTATTTAGTTTTTTATTTTTGGAAATCTTATAGGAAAGACATGAACTGGTAAGACATGTGACCTCCTGGATGTTTATTGCAAGTGATAAGTATGGAGTTGGAGACATACATAAAACAACATTATATAATTATTCTATAAAAGCATTCTTAAGAATTTGTACAGATCTATACGAAAGCCTATTAGGATCAAAAATTTAAAAGGCGTTATAACGCCTTTCGAAAAGGCGTAATAACGCCTTTTGAAAAGGCGTAATAACGCCTTTTGAAAATGCGTAGGCGTTATTACGCCCTTTCAAAAGGCGTAATTACGCTTTTTCAAAAGGCATTATTACGCCTTTTCAAAAGCGTTATTACGCCTTTCTAAAAGGGTAATTACGCCTTTCTAAAAGGCGTTATTACTCCTTTCTAAAAGGCGTTACTACGTCTTTCAAAAAAGGCGTCAATACGCCTTTTCAAAAGGCGTTATTACGCCTTTCTAAAAGGCGTTATTACGTCTTTCAAAAAGGCGTTATTACACTTTTTCAAAAGGCGTTATTACGCCTTTTCAAAAGGCGTAATTACGCCTTTTATTTTCAATACATGACTAACTTAGCCCACTCCGGGGCTAAAATCTTACCCTCGGGACATGAATTTAACAAATAACTATAGGGCTTATTTCTTCAAAAATAAATTTAAACATATTGTAATTAGATTTGCAGGAATAGAAGATTTTTAAATGTGTAATATATTTTCAATGTTAAACCAACTTAGTCCTTCTCTGATGCCGGACACCTCTACCAAGGGTCATGGATTTCACAAATGCGGTTGAAGGCTCACTATACCCATGCAAATAGTTTTCCTACTTTTTTTCCAAGAGGAGAGAGTATTTTCAAAATTGACATGAATTTTCAATACATGGCAAGCAAAGCCCCAAGCTGCATCTGCCTGTATCCTTGATTTCCACAAGTAGAGTGTTGACTTCTCTTAATACGCATGCAAACAGAACTTTGTCTGCGAGATGTGCAGGAATATAGAAAATACTTTTAAACATTGCATAAATAAAGATGGTTTTGATTCAATCTTTCAAGTATTTTGCAAAGGGGGGGGGGGGGGGGAGAGCTCCCCACCCCACTTTTTGGGAGAATAGTCTTGCTATAGTTTAAATATAAAAATTCATTTATTGGCTGCTTGGTCCCTGAACTTGTTGTTGCAGTATGGTCAAACTCTAGCAAATCGTTGCATTTAAAAAAAGTTTTACCGAAAAGTTATAAAAAGATCCCCTCGAGTTTAGGCAGTTTAGTAGTTATAATTCGGGGGGTGGGTGGGTTGTTCCTTGTTTTTTGTTTGCTTGTCAATTTTTGGGGAGCTCCCCCCCCCCCCTTCAAAGCACGGGCCTGTCAAAGGCATAATAATGGTTCTTCAAAAGGCATAATAACGCCTTTTGGAAAGGAGTAGTAGCGCCTTTTGGAAAGGCGTAATAACGCCTTTTGAAAAGGCGTAAATTAACGACTTTTAGAAAGGCGTAATAACGCCTTTCGAAAAGGCGTTATAACGCCTTTTATTTTTTTCTTCTTCATAGATTGATCCTAATAGGCTTTCGTAGACGTACACAGGGTAATATTTTTTCTCATCATTTAAGTTAGCGTGTTATAAATTTCTGATAATGTTGATAGGGCTTATCTGTTGATTTTTAATGAGAATGCATACAATATTTAAATATAAAAATCAAGGGAGGTGATTGACGTAAATATAACTTGTAAGCAGTATAATTGATCATGAACAATTAATACTACAAGGGAACCTAACATGCCCGTAGCAACGGTTTCAAAAGTGGGGGGCCAAAAAAATCCGACAAGCGAAAAAAACCCAACAAAAAACAAAACCAAAAAAAAAAACCCTTCATTGACCAAAAATTTGCGGGGGAGGGGGGCAACTTCAAAAAAAAAATATCTAACTAGCAAAAAAAAAAAAAATTAATCTACTGTCCAAATCCTGGAATTTGCTTATGCTTGACCTAACATTATCAAGAAGTGGGGGTTGGGGCAGCCAGCATCTAAAGGAAAATTTAAATATAGCAAAAACTATACTCAGGAAAAAGTGTGGAGCCCCCCCCCCCCCCCGCGTTCTGCGGGCCTGTCTAATGTTTACTTTTCACATTTTCTGATTAAAGACAAACAAGTGAACATTTTTTTAAATAACCCTGATAACATAACCATCACCCACATCAAAAGATGATATAGCTACTCCATAAGGTATTACAGGGTAAATGACTAATAATGATCGGACTCGGTGTACATAAACCGTAATCACCAAATCACTTCCTATTTTTTCGGCATTTAGTGCAATCGTATAAACAAATAACTTGTCAACCGTTTGATTGCACTTCATGTACCGATTCAGGCGATTGTAAGTTTTCTCAACTTTTTCATCATTGTTTTGTTTTTGCAAGAGTAACAGAAATATAACGACAATAGCATTTATTTATTTTCAGTGAAAGAGAAGCTTCTCGTTTGTAGAGATAATGTGGCACTACTGGTGGGCTCACTTCACCTACCATCTTGTAAGGTGGTTCCCACGAGACAACAGAAGAAAGATGTATGTATACGGAATAGCAGTAGACCTAATACATGAAAGATTTTTTTAAAAAAAATTAACTACCAGTCCGAGGGTGTATAGAATGGAAGTAAATATGCATTTACATGTATATAGTCCGAAATATCTGACGTTTTCCAGGCTTTTTTCACGATTTTGATATTTTACGTCCCCGGAAAACGTCAGATTAAGAAAACTGGAAATTTCGCCTTCTTCAACCGGAGTTGATTTTCGATACTTGCACGATTTTAGAATGTACGAAGTGAAAAACAAATCTTGACAGTCAGATAAAATGTTTTCATCGGATTGTATATTTTATAAACAAACCATAAAAACGATGTTGGTGAGCAATAAAAGTATTGTACTATTGATAAGTTGTGAGTTTGACATTTAATTCGGTTCGCAAGTATCGAAAATCAACCTGAGAATGGCACCTCCGGTTGGAGGCGGCGAATTCCCAGTTTTTGTAATGGTGCCGGTTCTGACGTTTTCCTGGCACGTAAAATATCAAATTGTTAAAAAAGCCAGGAAAATGTCAGATATTTCCAACTAACATGTATAATGATGCGCATAATTTTTATTTGGTGCTATAAAATCAAATAAAAAACCTTTTGTTACTATCTAATTTCTTTTCCAGTTTTTCTGAAGCACAGAATAAATTTATAAATTTCCTGTCCTCTGGGATTTATCCATTTTTACAATTTTATTTATATGCTTTTATGTATTTAAATCTATTGTTTTTCTCTGAACATTTTTTTTGCCGACAAAATCACACTAACTGTTTTTCATCACTTTACTCTTTTGAATTTTAATTTTTATCCTCTTTTAACAATACCACCTTCTCAGATGCTCCTTATACATAGGACAGAATTCCTGAACTGAATTAAACATGCCTCTTTCACTCTTGAGTTGACCAGACTTGTATAGAGAAAAAAAAATCCTTTTTTCATATAAAATAAGAAGAAAGATATATATCCAAGTTAACTAGTCCATGTGTAATGTGACTTCAGGTTATTTGATAAAACTAAGGCATTTTCAGGATCACATGTGATCTGTTGTTCATAAAAATTTATCAGCATTGTTTTTATTGTAGAAATGTTGTTCTAGCTGTTTTTTCACTTGGGTTGCTGGTACCACAGTTTATTGTCCTGCAGCATAAACACTCTACAAGATGGTGTCCTGCACATCTGTTTGAATTACTTATTGTATCCATAATTTTCACATTCATCTGTCAAGGTAAAAGTTGCAGTACAAATATTTTACAAGTACTTCATACTGTGTCTAATGGTATTCAATTATCATAATCTGTGATTTTGGGAAATATAATGTGTTAAACTTTTACTAGATCTAGGGACAATTTTTTTTTAAATAATTCAGAAATACAGACAATTTCACAAAGTAAAGTACATTATATCAAATTACTGAGTATGGTGCAGAGACCAATCTAATTAAAATTAGATCCTTTATGTTCCTGTATTTTGTTACAGTAATTTTAATTAGATTGGTGCAGAGACCATTTTGAAATCCACAATACTTTGTATTTTGCAGGATTTTGTCTTTTATTTATGATTATGAACCCTGTACCAAGAGCTGTCAAGGTTGCATTTCATGTGTTTGGTATCATCTGTTTTGTGGAAACTCTAGTCCACATTGCCTATGCAACTAGCCGGTCAGCAACAGAAGATTGTGTAAGTAAAATGTCATGATGTCCATTTAAAAAGCAAACAAGGAAACAAGAAAGGCACATATTAAAGTGATGGTCATTTAAGTGGTTCATGTACTAAAGTTCCTGCATTCTAGACAGCATTTCAGTTCATTCTAGACAAGTATATTCAAATATGAGACCAACATTTATGTTGGCACTTTGAGGATTCTTATACTGTAGATCACCAAATTTTCATGATGCCTTATTATGTTCCCCAAACGAAGTTTGGGAACATATTGTTTTTACTCTGTTTCTTCTTCTTCTTATTATTATTTTTCTTTTTTTCTACTTTCTTCTCCGGTACTTTTTTGTCCGGGAGTGTTCTCATAGAACCACTCATCCGATTGACATGAAACCTTTTTAGGGTTAATAGGCATGTTGTGTAGGTGTTCGGAACGAAGGTCATTTTGCGCGCACATGCATGCACGTGCGCGCGCGTGCAATGAGTGAAATGACTGATATACTTGATGAAGCCGTAACTTTTTTATTTCTTGATGAATTGCTTTGAAACTGAAAATATAAAGATATATTAGGAGTCTGGACAAGATAACATAGTCAAATTAGCGTGAACTCACGCGCATGCACGTGCGCTCTTCTCTGATTGGCTGATACAAAAATCTCAATAATTTCCTTGTTTTGTGACAAAATACTTTGAAATTTAGAATATAAGTATATATTACAAGGTGCTACAACATGTTGTATAGGAAATTTCTTGAAAACACGCGCATGCAGGTGTGCTGCAATCTGATTGGTTGAAACTTTAAATGTGTATAACTCCCTTGGTTTTCAACAAAACAGGATGAAATTTACTACATGGATAGGCACATAGAGCTCCTACATTATGATACTATCAAAATTGAATGCAAGGCCATGCATGCGCGTATGCTGAATTCTGATTGGATAATACTTAAAGGGTTACATCTCTCTTATTTTTCAATGAGATTCTTTAATATTTAACACAAATGTATGTATTGTGAGACACTATAAGAAAATTAATGTAAAAAATGTAGAAAACATGTGCAAGCATATGCGCTGAAATTTGATTGGCTAATACCCATATGGCTATATTGGAGTAGTTTTCCAATGAAATACCCTTAAAAATAAAGTGTCCATCTATATTACAAAAGTATTGTCTAATTTATTGAAGCTTGTAGGGAATGGGGCATCATAAGGGATTGGGGAGCCGTTTGGGGAACATCTGTAACGGTTCCCGTTACAATTAGCACTAGTTTTTTTTGCGAGAAAGGCATGTACGTGGTATTTATAAGCAAAATAAATTTTTTACGAATTCTTGTTATCGTTGTATATATTGTTCAATGATATATATATACATGAGAATGAAATTTTCGTGAGTAGATGGTCTTGCATAATTACACCAAAATAAAGTTCTTGTAAATTAAAAGTGATTTACGGTATGGTAAATATAAGATGAAGACTTTTATTCACCAATCACAGTACTGTTTGTATGTACATGTATGGCACTTGCATAATTTTGTAGAAGCATGCAAAATCTGATTAACCTTTTGCTTTTGTTTCCAGAAATCCTCTGCAGCTCCACTCTATTACCTCTCCTACGCATTCGCCTGGGTTGGTGCTGCAAGTCTCAGTAAGTTGCAGTAATTCTCTAGGAAGAATACAGCAACAGCAAATAATCTGACTGCTGTATTAGCCAGCAACCTCTGTCATATTTCGAAGTAGACCACTGACTCCAATATCAATATCAATTACTGTAAAAAAAGCTTAGGGGGGGGGGGGGGGTCATTTTCTCTCTCTTTCTCTCTTGATCTACCCACAGGAAGTTGAAAACCATATGCCCCCCTTTTTCAAGGAGGAATAATACTCTGTAGTTACTATATATTTAACAGTTTAAATATTTTCTGACCAGAAGCTAGACATTATTTTTGCATCATAATATAGTCATCAAACTACAAACTTATAGTCATCAAACTACACTCACAGGCGCAGATCAAGGAATTTTTTCCAGGGGGGTCCATCCCAGTCCAAAAAAAAAAATTTTAACCCAAAAATTTCTTGACAAGCAAAAAAAAAAAAAAAAAAAATAAATAAATAAATTCCCTTCCCAAATGTAAAACCCAACAAATTTCTTGAAAAAAAAAACTAAACCCCCCCCCCCTAAAATCCATTTCCCAAACGTGAAAAAACACCTATTTTGTAGTGGTAATGTTGGGGTCCACATTTTCTAGGAGGGTCCAAAGTCATTTCTTATTTGCTTCAGTATATACTTCTAATAACTCTGCAAATTCCAGGGGAGGTCTGGACCCCCCGACCCCTCTATAGATCTGCGCATGACTCAGATCATGAGATGCATATTTATACAAGAGCCCCATGGATCTTGACAGTCACCTGCATATCACTCCATGACTAGTTAAGTCCTGCCTGGAACTAAAATCCAGGTCTCATTAACAAAAATTTTACAGTTTGGTGAGGACTCTTTAATCATTATCAATTATTCATGCACCTTGTCTCCTAGAAGATATAGAAACAACTGTATAATACTAGTATACAGTATTTCAATATAGGACCAATTTAACTCCATTAGGAGACCTGACTCTGAATATAGGGGGACATGGGGTGTGCTTTTTATCTCGTTTTTTAAGAGGGCAATAGCTGTTCATTATGATCATGCAAACAACACATCTGCTAGATGCATGTCCATGAGTTATAAATGAAGAATTTCAAAGAGGAAATTCCAGAGTGGAGAAATCCGTAAATGTATTTGTATTTTAGGAATCTCTAAACAACTGCTCACATCTGCTGTTTATTTCAGTTTTCTTCTGCCTGATGATACCTTTCTGGGTGATCAATTCAGTAAAACGTGGTTGTGTGCTGGACATGAGGACCAGAGAGGGATTGTGTTATGAACCAGTAAAATGCTGCTCCTGCATGTGGCACATCTAAGAAACTGTCCTGTATTTCCCTTTGATAATATTTAAGATTTTGTATGACTTATTCCTGATTGTATATATATTATAAAACTGTACAGTATACATGTATATTTTGGAGATTTATGACTGTCAGGACCAAATACAAAAAAAATATTGTAGCTCATTTTGCAGAGTACTAGCAAGTTTCAAAGAATATTGAAGGACAAATGTTTATATCTTGGTCTGTGAACCTCTAAACTTGGTCTTCAGGGAAAAAAAACAGCAACAAGAAAACAAACAAACGATTTTTTGCAAGCAGAAGAGGTTACATGAAAACATTATAGACATTAATGTGGACTTTCAATGATTTTGAATTTTACCACATACAATGAGCATAAAGTAATTGTGAAAGATAATCTATACCATTTTGATCTTTTTTTTTTCGTATGTCATGGCTTTTTACACTTTTACATATATACATTTGTACATATATTTAACTTGATTAATTGACATGAGTTTTACATGAATTTGTATCATCTATCACTGTATGTCAGCTGGTCTGGCACACACAAATAAAGTCCAATATATTGACATTTACTTTTCAAATGATATATTATCACCCAAGCATGATTATGTAAAAATATTCTTATCTTTATATTTGTTGTTTTCTTTCTTTTTTTTTTTTCTTTTTTTTTTTTTTTTCTTTTTTTTTTTAAAAATTCCTATTATCTAAATAACATATGTTAATAATTTTATAGTTACATATTGTTAATATTTTCATATATATACAAAAAACCAGTAATCATTTATATATACAGGACATATGATAAAAGTATGTATTATAATTTGTTCAAAGAATAAATATATAAAAAAAATAAGATAGATTTTCTTTTGAAAACTGTTCAGGGTAGCTATAATAAACTCAGAAAGCTTTTTTGTTCCTTTTTATTAGCTCACCTCAACAAAGTTTGGGGAGCTTATGTAATACTCGTGGCGTTGGCATCCAAGGTTAAAGTTTTTGGAGCAGATTTCTTTTCAAGTACTTCTATGCCCTATATTAGTCAGAGATGCATGGGGGATGCTTCTAGTGTGTTTCATTGTACCATGTCAAGGTTTCAGATGCTGCAATTTCAGCTAAAGAATGACCAGGTTAATGTTTTTGGACCAGGTCTCATTTCCAAGTAACTATATGCCCTATGTTGACCAAACTTGCATGGATGATACACCTAAGGATGTACACTACTAGACTTGCTTTGGATGCTGGATCTGACCTACATTTTCCAGATGAGTGACCAAGTTAAAGATTTTGGAGCAGATCTCGTTTCCAAGTAACTATATGCCCTATGTTGACCAAACTTGCATGGATGATACACCTAAGGATGCACACTACTAGACTTGCTTTGGATGCTGGATCTGACCTACATTTTCCAGATGAGTGACCAGGTTAAAGATTTTGGAGCAGATCTCGTTTCCAAGTAACTATAAGTCCTATGTTGACCAAACTTCCATGGATGATACATCTAAGGATGCACACTACCAAGCTTGCTTTGGATGCTGGATCTGACCTACATTTTCCGGATGAGTGTGCAGGTTAGAGATTTTGGAGCAGATCTCATTTCCAAGTAACTATATGTCCTATGTTGAACAAACTTGCATGCATGGTACATCTAAGGATGCACACTGCTGGACTTGCTTCAGATGCTGGATCTGACCTATATTTTCTGGATGAGTGACCAGGTTAAAGTTTTTGGAACAGATCTAATTTCTAAGTAAATATAAGCCTATACTGACCAAACTTCCATGGATGATACATCTACTGCACTTGCTTTGTATGCAGGATCTGACCTACATTTTCCAGATGAGTGACCAGGTTAAAGTTTTTGGAGCAGGTCCATTCCCAAGAAACTATAAGGCCTATCTGAACCAAGCTTGCATGGATGCTGCATTAAGAAATGAACACTCTTAAACTTGCTTCAGATGCTGGATTTGACTTACATTTTCTGGATGAGTAACTAGTTTAAAGTTTTAAGATAAGTCCATTCCCAAGGAACTGCATGCCCTATCAGATCAAAATTGCATAAATGTTGCATCTAGGGATGCACACTACTTGATTATTAGTTTATTGTGGGACTTTGCCTTACTTAAAGACAACATTCGTTGAGATGAGCTCTGTAATCTCTGATTACCTGTGTTTCATATATATGGTCAGTACCTTTATTTTTAATGCAATAAAACACTTTTTTTGCCTGTTCTTCATGACACATTGCAGAAAAATTATGTAACCTGGGTTAAGTGGCAATAGGTGCCCACTTTAAGGGGAAATAATTAAAAATCTTAATCACTTTCTAAGAATATTTGAGAGCTTTCTGAAATAGTGTAGATTCAGGTTTAGTTAAATTATGACCCCTGAGATAGGTTTGGGCCACAGTAGATCAAAGTTTTACATGTACATGGGAATATGAACTGAAAAAATCTCATGAACAACAAGGCAAAGTTTTACTGTACAAAAGAACTTGTGACTTGGACCAAATTCTTCTGGAATTTATTCTTTGAACAAATAAAATTGGGATTTTGATGTGAATAAGAAGAATGTTCAGTTACAATATTTTTTTGCAAGTATTGTAAAATTAATGAGTTTCTAGAACATCTGTAATATTTTTAGTCTTGTTTGTAAAATTTACACCCTTTTCTTCATTTGTCACTTTATAGGCACATTTATACGCCATGCAGAGGTTGAAGAATTGTTATAAGGGTTGGTAATAAGGTAGGTCAGCTGCTTTAAAGACTGAAAATCAGCTAACCCTGACCAAAATACAATACAGAAAGGAACAAATTCTTACCACAGCCACACAATACAAACCAAAAACAATGTTGAAATCTAGTTGCCAATTGTTTTAAGATATAAGGAAATCTAGGTTAAGTTTTGTCACAAGGAGAAACAAGCACAAACTTCAATACAGCTTCAGCCCAGTATGTACAAATTAGGAAGTGCATAAAACTCATTTCCAATTCAATTCAATTCAGTTTATTCTCACATTGTATAAAACAACATAGAGAAAATAGAACAACGATATCAAACAAAATACATGATGCAAGAGTGTACAGTTTACATTAACCTGGAAGGGTAACTCTCTTATTAATTATATTGATAAATTTACAAAGGTTATTGATGACAGATACCTTTTTACATGAAAATAAATTTAAAAACTTAAAAGCGCTTGGTCGACTTATATATGTTGAAGGTAAATACAATTTTCTACAATCATTAAAAGCAGGACATGACATAATATAATGGTATTCGTCTCCAATATCATTATTACATAAAGTACAAAATCTTTCATTTGAGGGTATATTGCTCCATCGGCCTGTCTCGATTGGTAATTTATGATTACTAGTTCTAAATCTTGCTAATGTAGTTATAATATTCATTGACACATTCATGTTTAAATAGTTTCTAGTTGTAAAAATACTATTAGTGAACAAATTGTAAATTTTGCCTTTACCAGATGTATTACAGTCTGAATTCCAGTTTTGTTTAAATTGATCAATCAGCGTTTGCTTAATTACAATCAACAACCATTTTTCATTGTGAACATTCTGCGTCATCCAAACATAATTCACTGCTGTCCAATGTCTTCCTGTCTTTCAGCTTAGGTGTTCTCTTGTTGGTGTCAATCATGTAAACCAGAGATGGGGCTAATTTGTATCTTAATACATCTAAAACCAGAGCTTGGTAGTTTTGTTTTCAAGATTTAAAAAAAAAAATGTAAATCAACATTCTCATAAGTGTTTCCAGTTGTGAGTGACTTAGATGATATTATACAATAATTGAAAAATATTGTATACAACTTTAATCTTTGCCCTCCACTGGCATTTGCAAATAACATTTTTGTATTGAGTTTTTCCATTGTTTGGTGCCAGACCTCAAACATGTACACCCAAGTCTCATCTATCAACAAATTAGAAAAAAAATTAGAAAAACTTGCAAAAACAATTTTTGGGGGGTTTCTTTGGGCATTCAGACATTCTCTTCATCTGTCAGCAAATGAAGTATCCATCATGCACAAATCTATCAAAGTCCTAAATTTTCTTTCAAAACTATGACTCTTCTGTTATCTTAAGTCAACTAGCTATATCCCCAACTGTGCACTTCTTCATCCATCTCCAAATTGTCATTAATGATATTAAAGCAGGGATTTCAATGATTTTGAAGTAAATAGGTGAATTTATTCATTGAAGAGGCTGTTTTAGAATTTTTTCCAATAGATTTTTTTTTACCAATTGTGAAATTTGAAGCAGCGAATTCTGATCAGTGAAAAATCACCTCCTATTATCAAAAGTCCTGCCAAAGAATCCCCATAGCAAAGTTCTTTGTAACTTTCTCCTGGAGTGATATCTAGAGCAACATGCCCTTTAATATAGAATTGAATTGCTTAATTTTCCCCCTTCTTTCATGTAAAACATAATGAAAAATCATGTGCTTATGAGTACCCCTGATTTCATTAACTTTTAACAAAATGACTTTATTCTGCATAAAATTTCACACACTTGTAGCTTTGAGAATTTTCTGAAAGATAATACGAAATCTTTTAAACGAAAGACGGAATTACTATGAAAACCTGTTTGTAACACTACTTTTAAAATACTCTCCTACTGCCTCTGTTAAATGGTTTAATCTTTTTCCAAAACATAACAAATGAGGTGCAATTAATGGAAATACCTTGAAATAAAAACAACAAACAATAAATTAATGCACTTGCTGTTTTTATTCATGCAGATATTGATGTTGAACTTCACTTTAACATTTTATCCTAATCAAAATACAAAAAAAAAAAAAGGAAAAAAAAGAAAGAAGAAAAATACAATTTAAAAAAGATAGCAAAAAAGTTGTAACCACTTTGTATAAATAATTCATGTTTCATAAACATAAGAAATGCTCCAGCCAACTCTATGAGAGACTGTCGGCTTTCCTTGTTTAAACTTTATTATATAAAATATGAAAACAAATTTGTTCAAATTTGATAGCACTAAAATATCTGATATTTTCATTGTCTTTATTACAAATTAGATTTGCATAGATCTCAAATACGGTATGCTCTCTTCCAAACAATAAATTAAATCCGAGGTTTTTTGAGTGTTTTGTCTGTCGTCAGTCAGAGGAAATCTTTCAGTTCAATAGGACCACAACTTTTTCGATAGCATGTGCTGGTACAATCTAAAGCTCTTATCAAGAAAAAAGGACTACATAAATGCATTAATAACTGGTTGGTAATACACAAAAGTTGGCTGTTGTTTCAACAAACCAGGTGTTGACACGCATTAAGAATTATTCCTGTTGCTCGGTCTTCTCTTCTGTCTGTTCCTGTGTTGGTTCAGGAGAATGGCCTCCTTCATATTCTCTATCATTCTCTCCTTCACCCTGCAAAGAACCAGGCACACTATTCTAAAATTCCATGTCACATATTATTGGCTTCTTATGGTAGGTTACTTTTACAGATATAAATGAAGGTACATGTACCATTTATAAAAGTAAAGAATTACCACCAAATGAAGATCACTATTTGAAAATTGATTAAATCAGAAGAAGGCTTAAATGGAATCTTTCATAATAAGAAATTTC